TGAAACTTGTTCATTTTTTATATTATTTTTAAGCTCATCAAATACTTTATCTGTTAAGATTTGAATTCTTTGTTTTTTTAATATATGAAGTTGATTTTTTTGTTGTTTTGTTAATAAAGAATCATTTGTTATTAAAATATCAAATGATTTTTCATCAAGTAAATTTGAAATAAATTCTTCATTTTTAATTTCTATTTTATATTGTTCAAATTTTTTTGAACCTTGAATTTCCCATTTTTGGGTATTTCTAAGTTTGTATAATTCATCTTTTTGTTTATCATCAAGATATTTAGCATCATCAATAGTATCTTTCCAAATATTTTCTAATCGTGTTAAGTCTTTTTCTTTAATTATTTTATTTTTGATCGAATCATATTCTTTTTTTAATTAATTTTGAAAATTTTATCATTTATACTTTTTAATAAAATTGATATTTGTATGGTCATTAAAATCTTATTATTGTTGATAGTATTAAATAAATTATTCAAAGTTGAAATTTCTTCTGTTTTATCTTTTAAATTAGTATAATAACCATATTGTTCAAGATGTAATTTATCTAATCTTGATATTTTTAATTTTTGTAAATCATTAATTAAATTTGGTGATAATTTTGAATTATTTATTCTTTGATCTAAATTTCTATTATTAATCAATTTTATTGCATCAGGTCTTTAGGTTTCTTCAATTTCTTTTTTTAATTGATCAAATAAATTATTAATTATAGTAGAGAAGTTTGTTCAGGTTGTTTTGCTTAAGGATTATCCATTTCTACATTTTTGTCTTGTTCTGGTAGGTCTGGTTTATCTTCAGTTTGTTCTTGGTTTTGGCCTTGATTTGTTTGTTGATTTGAATAATATTGTATTAATACTTGCTCAAGAGCCATAATAATAGTAATATGTATTTTATCAATATTTGGTTTTTTATTATCAATTGATTTAGGATAATAATAACAACAATCTTCAAATTTATTATTATATTTGCATTTACAAGACATTTTGAATAAAATAAAAATTAAAAAATAAAAAAAAAAAAACTCCTATATTTATATTAAAAAATTTAAATTAAATTTCTGCATCTTCTGGTTCATCTTCTTCTATTGGGTTTTTTCTATTACCATTTTGAT